TGAAAACTCAGTATAATTATTTTGGTCATGTAATTTGGGGATTCAGTCCTTAAAAAACAGGTCTCTGAACATCTGACAAGAACACACAGACACCAAACAACAGCAGCAAAAAAACAGAAATGTTGATATTTTTGCCCCATGTTCATGTTTCAAATACAAATGCTTGCAAAGACCACTCCTGTGCTTCTACAAAGCTCTAGATTTTCATCATCTATAAGAACCATAATTCCCTTCATCATCCTACTTAGACATCTGGTGTTGCCAATAGGATGCTCTGGCTGAAAACATCTGGACTGAGAAACGAGTTGTGCTCAAATTATCTCCCATCCATTCAAGTCCCAGAGACAGCAGACAAAGTTGTGCTACCTATCATGTTTTAAAATCTATCTTAAGAGTGGCAACCTTTTTAAGTGTAAACAGTCAAGAGTTTGTCATTCTCAACCCAAGTAATATTTTATATTCTGTTTCCAAGTATCTGTATAGTATGACTGATGAACCTGAGTAATGTCCTTAATGTTTAAAATCTTGGAATTTTGTTATATAGCTTTCATTGAAACTAAAATCTAATTCCTAAGTGTACTTGACTGTCCTAATGTAGCATTTTTGGGCAGACAAATGATGACTGTCCCCAAGACAGCATGATCTCTAGCCTCTTCAAAAAAGCAGCCAAAGTCAAGTGAAGGGAACACCCATATTTACTGATCAGATTTGGGACCAAGTGTCCAATTTCAGTGGTGACTGATTAGTTATTACTCAAGCTAACCATGGTGCACTGAGTAAAATGTCATAAGATAAAAGGACCAACATCACAGAGAACATAAGAGGAGAGGAATCTGTAAAAACATCAAATACTATTTTATCCTATCAGCATCAAACAGTTGAAGTAAAAGCAGACCTATTTAGGAGTACCCAAATAACAATTAGGTTAGAGATTTTCCTATTTGTCTTGTTTCATTTTTCTATTTGCTCATTTCTGCAGCATTGTCTACAAATTAAGTGCATTTACACTTAAAAATAAGCACATACAAATGACTAAGTTAAAGGGTAGTTGGGGACAGTGTATATATTATAATGATTAAAAAACTCACAATAAAACTAACAAAATGTATACCTAGCATCACCCTGGTCTCTTTCTGGCTGTATGTTTCCCTCACCATTTGCATCTCTTTTATCCGTTCAGACTGTAAACTCTTCAACAATATGTCACTGGCACCCAGCACATTTTGGATGTTGCCATCACACAAATAATAATCATATCCAGCCTATTTGATTTTTAGGACTGTTATAGGGTGATCCCTTGAGAGTCTTTTCCAGCCTCAGTAACTGATCACAACTACTCCAGGTGTTGTTTACCACCACTGTGCTTTATTATATTCCTTCAGCAGGCCACAGCCTGGAGTGTTATTTACACACTGTTTAGTCAGTAACCAGCATCCCCAACCTCCTTCTGGGGACCAGTACACTACAGTACTAGCAGCAGCCAGTCCTGCCTACACCTACTTTCCTTTAGGCTACCTCTTCTCCTCCTTAGCATTTCCTTCCTGTCTGATTATAGTATTCCAGCTGCTGGGGATACTTCCACCCAATTATCCCCTCCGCTATATCTCTACTGAGTTAATTGGCACCCTCAATCAATTAATCAGGTCCAAATTAATGTATACTGGTGGGGATTTGAGTGACAGGGTACTAAGTCAACTCCTGACTCAGCCCACCCAGTTATATGGCAAGATCAGATACAAGGCATCGTCAAGAAGCATGAACAATTACTACAGCATATAAGTTTGCATAGGGCAAACTTGAAGTTGTTAAGGGAATCTGTCTTGTAAGGTTAAAATGACTGCACTACAAGCTCAGTCCCCTTCTTCTTATAACTGTTAAATACAGTTCTATCTTTACGGATATATTTTTTAAAGGGCATAAAGTATATAATTAAATATATCATGGTATCTCCAGGCCCATAATTGGGCCAAATACTTTTGTATTATGCCTTATCCTGCACATCCGTTTCTGTCCCATAGAACATTGTGACATGGAATGCCGTTTTGCAAAAGAGCCATAAGTTTCAAGGAGGGAGGAGAGGGGAAATCCTATAGAGAAAGAGACTGAGTGATGTCTAGAATTCCTGGGTGTTGTTATTCACTTGTTAAGTAGGGGTGCATGCTGAAAAACCATATTCATAGGAATGATACACCATATCACAATCATTAGAGCTGGATGGGAAAGAGTTTTACCTGTTGTGTGAAAAATTCCCCTTCCCAAATCAGGACAAAAAGTCAAAATCTCAAAAATGTTCACAAAAACAAAATTCTGGGGGGAAAAAACTGGTTCAGATCAATTTAAATATTTTGTTTCAATTTTGACCATGTCCTATTTTTAAATAAATAGGAGATATATATATATATATATAGAGAGAGAGAGAGAGAGAGAGAGAGAGTTATTTTGATCCAGAGAAAACAAAAAAGAGTTTTTCATTTAGAAAATATCAAAACAAAATGTTTCAACAATTTCAAAACTGTTTTGAAAACTTTTTTCAAGTTGAAAAATTCATCAAAACCAACCCTTTTCCAAGAAAAGTTTCAGTTTAGATGTTGCATTTTCTGTTGAAAAATATGTTGTCAAAAATTCCTTACAGCTCTAATAAAGATGCTGCAAATATCAGGGAACTTTAAAAGTTAAAAAAATATATATTTTTTCATAAAGTTGCCTTTTATTTTTACCTAGAAGAAAAGAAAACTTTTGACAACCTTTTATACCCAACACTGATAATATTCAGCATTAAGTAGAAACCCCAGCCAGGTGATCTAAAATGTGTGATTTATGTAATTATTTCTCTTAAACGTAACCCAGCAGTGGTTTTGTACCAGTTACAAACTTTCTTGGTGGGGAAATGTGTGACAAATTCTGGAATTTCTGACTAAAATTAATGGGTGTAAGGGGAACTGATGGATTCTTTCCCCATTAGGTACTTCAGTGGATGAGCTGAAACTTGGCAAAGAGCTATTTAGCCATTAGCAAATGAAGATGTTTTGTTGGTATGCAAATCACAGCCCAAGAAAAATGAATAACAAGCAATTTATTTATTATACAACATGACATTTTTTGGGATGGGACACCACTTATAGGCCAGAACTGATAATAAATTATGAGTCATTTGAAAGAGCTGCACAAATGACAACTTCAAATGTAGGCTGCTAACTTCTCCAAAAATTATTAAGGGATTTTAAAGAGCATTATCCAGTTATTTTGTGTTTCCCCCTCTACTGGCTAGACAGTTAAATCAGCAAGAAGACATATCAGTCAGTACACGTGAGAGAAGAAGGAAAACCATCTAGTAATTAGCACTGCATTGTAACAACACTACCAAAACAGCAACACTCTGAATGGTTCTTGAAGCCTGGAATAAAACCCCACAAAAAATCTTCAGTCAACTGCATTTCCTCCACCTTCCAAAGTTCTTAAACAGGTGGTCAGGAATTTTCCATCTGAATGATATTTTGATGATACATGCAGTTTCCACAAAATTGAAATATTCTGCAGGAAAATTGAGATTTTCCCCAAATATTTTGATTTTCTGTTGGGAAAACCAAAACAAAATATGTCATTTTGGGAAGGTTTGACCAAAACTGAAATATTTTGGTTTGCTGAACAAACCTGAAATGTTTAATTCTGAGTCAGTTTAACACAAAACTGCATTTCCCTATGGTGGGAAATTGTCTCACAGGAACGGTAGTTTGGATGACTCATGGCCTCATTCTCTCCTATGGACTGTTGCCTGGCTAGACTGCATCTCCCCGTGTAACACAGTCTCCCCTCTGACTGAGCTGAATGGTATAGGGGAATCATTTGTCTGCAGGTGCATCATGGAAGATGTAGTCCAGCAAGTGAGCCCAGCCCATAGGGGAGAATAGGGTTATCAGCTGTAACTCCTATGAGGCAATGCGCTGCCATAGGGAAACACAGTTTAATGTTGAATTGAACTGAAACGAAATAATTTGAGTCAGTTCAACAAACCAAAATGAAAAAATATTGAAATATTTTGTTTAGATCAGAAATGAGAAAACAAAATAGTTTGACATTTCTGAAGCAAAACTTTTTGAAACTTTTCACTCCATGAAAAAAAATTGTTTCAATTTTTCATCCTGATTCAGGACAAAAACAAATATTGAAATATTGGAATTTCCTGTGAGATGGAATTTCTGATTTTGGCACAGTGGTGTTATTAAGCTTTTCAATACCATGACTCCCTTTTCCACACCAGGATGCCTGTAGGATCTCTTCTCATTTAGCCAGGGCAAGGGGGTGGCAACCTTCTGATACCTGCTTCTGACCCAAAGATTAAGAGCCCATTTAGTAATACAATTGCTAAAAATCCAGGAAATCACCAATAAGCCAGCATTTACATGCACACCAAACTAAACTCCACCTGTCTTTCAACCATAATAACCAAGCATGCACACAGACGACTACACTCTGTAGTAAACTCCCTTTTGATTCTAACATCTAACTACACTGCATAATCCAATTCCATACAATCACACTCAAATGCATACCCAGACTGCATCTCTCTCCACTCCCTCTGTTTATCTAATATAGGCCTCCTTTTTATTCTTTCACATAATCTCGCCGTTGTTGTCATAAGCAGCAACCTTCTTCTATCTCTCTATCTCATCAGCACTCTTATTTTTCAAATCTGAAAACTTATCTTTTCTCCTTTGCCTATACAGCATCTCAATTTCTCTGTCAGCTTTTTAAAAGAGTGGTTAGTATATTGGGATATATCTCATAAGAAAGATGCTATACAAAATAAAACAGCATTATATTGCAGTGAAAGAATGGCACCACTAGGGAACGTTTCTCTTAGTCTTCTTTTACTGGGGGCCTTTGCTCTCACAACAGATGGTGAACTTGCAATTAATCAGAAAATACCCAAATATTTCAGAACAACTCAGATGTCTTACTGTTAGAAATCAGTGTATTGCTTCATGCTTAAAGAAACTCACCAAATGCAGATTCTTTCAAAGGACTTGAACTGGAGCTGCTGGAATTATCTGATATGTCCAGCTCATCATCTAATTCAGAGAAGACATCTGTGCATAAAAATAAAAGCAGAAAGGAAGTTTTAACCAAGCTCTAAGCAGAATGCTAACATTCCTGGTGTTTCTTCTGCTATTGACTACCTTTCTCAGAGTTTTCTAAAGTGTAGTTGTCATCTGATAGGATTTCATCACATGTTCTGTCTTCATCTTTTCCACATGTTGGATGAAAGTTTTCGGTTGGAATGTCAGTTGTTTCTGAAAATTCGCTTTTGAAACTGGCTGCTCCACTGCTGCTGCTGCTGAGGCTTGACTTCTCAGAATGCTCCTAACAATGAAGAACAAAGAAGAGAACAAGTGAAGGAAATATTACCAATTTTCCTTTTTACAACAATGACCAAGGCTCATTTTAAACCTGACAATAAAAAGTCATAATTCATAAAAACGTACTATAGTTCTTGCTCGGCTGCTTGTCCTGCTCTCTCATTCTACCAGTGATTCTGCATTTATGGTAGAGCCCTTTTACTTATCTGAAATGATTTTTACTTTTTATATAAAAGATGTCCTAGAAATTGTATTTCAACTCCAAAAATAGGTTGCAAAGAGTACCAACAAAGCTCTTTTTCACCATATGTGTTCTCTACAAACTAAAAGGGGAACAATATGAAAATATGAACAAATATTTAATTTAAAAATAGAAATATTGAACAAAGACAGACAGGTCCCACAGACAACCAAGATGAGAGATTTAATCTCTTTCAGCTTGGACAATTAAAAGCAGATAGGTTTCTTGACATAACAAAGTGTGTAAGGCAATCAAGTTTAGTAAAAAAATAATAATAATAATAAAGTAAGCTTGATGTATATGCCTCAGAAACCTCATGAATTGGAACCAACCTGATTCTGGTTATTATTGCTGACATAAAGCTAAGAAAATAAAAAACTGGCATACAACTTATACTGCTGTCGTAAGTGTCTCCTGTATGTGCTGAATCTGTCCATAACAAGGAGGTCTTTAATGAATATAAAATGCTCCAACCACCACTCTGATTGTTTATAGCTTTTCAGGACACAGTAGAGCTCTCTGATCCCTCTTATGCCTCTATTTTAATGAGACGTGTTTTGAAGGCAGACCAGTTTATATTATTTATCTCCTATTCCCTTTTATCATGCAACACTCCAACAGGATAATGTAAAACAAAGGATGAATTTACTTACAGACAATAGCTATTACATGTAAAGATAGGAACAATATATAAAAAGAACATAAAACAAATCATTAACTTTATTATGATTAATTATTTGTATTATTGTACTTTAATATTTAGTAATTTCAGGGGACAATAAAGTTTCTCCCAAACAGTCTGCATTTACGAAAGGTGCTGTCTTAGGTACTTGCCCTTCTGGATATTAACTGATTCTCAGACCTTCTCCCTACACCTTCCCTAAGGTGACTGTCATCTCACCATGGCTGTACAAAATGAATGTGATCCCAACTCCTCCGCTCCTTTGAAGGTCACTTAGTGAAACTCCTGAATACTGACTGTAGTGCTAACTGCCCAATAGTTTAAGCCAATTATTCCCTCCATTCTCTCCCACATTCCCAATTCTATAACTCAATCCAGAAGGCTAAATAAATGAATCCTCAGGAATTTCCATTGCAACACCTAACAGGAAGGATAACCTTATGGCTCAGTACTGGACTAGGATTTAGGAAACTCTGCCAAAGGCTTCACAAGGAATCTTAGGTACTTCACAATTTTCTGTTCCTCAATTTTTCCGTCTGTAAAATGGCAATAGCAATACTTCCCTGCCTCAACGTGTGTAAAAGATAAATTTATTAATGCAGATGAGGTACTCATATACCAGACTGATGACTACAATAGTAAAACTTATTATTATATAAACAGGTACTATTTAGGACTGTAGATTCCAGCGTTATCACATTACAATAGGGTAGTAACATGGAAAACTTAATTTTCAATGTGCACCTGAAGATAAATTGTAGCAATTTAAAAATTAATCTTAAAAGCAACATCATTTTTAAGAATAAAACAAATTTATCTCAGACAGTATGAGTGAAGTTAGACGCTTTAATGCTTCAGGAACAGGGAAAAAAGGATATCTAAAACTTTAGGGGTGCTGCCTTCATGTGGAATTTCTAGAAGCCTCAATCTAAAGAGCATTCTGATACCACATGTTGTTGATGATGTGACCCAAAAGTGGAGATCTACCCAGTGACTTTTGATGCATTTATCTTCAATTAGGTAAGATGTAGTCCCAGCTGCTGACCTCCTGATGGAAATACAATGAATTTCAATTAGGAATTGGCTGGGATGGGAGGAGAGTTCTCTCACTGTTGCTGTCTTCTCCAGAATTCCCTCTCTTTGTGAGGTTCTTTTCTATCTTTCTTTTCTTGCTTTAACAGATTTCTCCCAAGGTCATCATTGGAATTAGTGAATGGATGGTACATATATGAAATCTCTTTTGCCCATAATCATTTCAGCCCATAGGAGATAGTCCAATAAAGAGAAAATGGTGATGCACTGAAGTATGGATGGCATGTTCCTCCCAATATAGAATCAAATGTATGTTTTTTTCTTCCTTCTGTTTAGAATTTCAAAGATTTGTCCTACCTAGTGCTCATGTGCTGATTGGATAAATATGTTACTTAAATGTTTAATCACAAAAAAGTGTACACAGTCTAATGGATGGAAAACTAGACAAAAGGAAGTTTCAAATAAAGACGTTAACATATACCCTGTCCTCTTTTTCTGACATTGGTGGGTAATCATTCGTATATTTATAAATATATTTTTCTAGCATTTCTGTCAAATACATTTTCACTACCAAACTCCAAAAATTATATTATTTTTCCCAGATGTAGAAACAGCCTTTTCAGAAACTTTCCACTTTATCACATAATTACAATATTATGGAGGTTTTTTTTTAAAAAGCTCCTTGTGACCAATAGACTAAAATGACTCCAACTGAACAAATCAGGTCTATTGGATAATTACCATTCTTCATTTAGGCATTTTTAAATGCATTAGTGGATTTATAGTAACAATCCCAATAACAGTTTTTTGTGATGAATGAAATAATTAAACTGTTTTATGAAATATCCAAAGCAATATCAAATCATATTGTGGGGCTGTTTGCCAAACTTCAGCTTTAATCAAAACAATTTGCTAGTTTTACTAGCATGAGAGATACAGAGGAGAGAACCTGAAAAGGTTATGACTGGTTCCCAGGAGCAAATACTCAAAAAAGAAAATGTACTTGCCAAGTAACTGAGTAAATTATCAGTGTTGTTGGGATAAACATGTGCCTCTGGAAACCAGTGCCTAAGCACTTGGGGCATGAGCATTCTCTTTTGAGGAACTGAACATTTAGCACAAGGTTTACAGGAGTCATATCCCTAGTTCTTTTCTATTTAATCAAAAACTAACAAAAGACTTGAAGAAATGGGAGTGAAGGTTGGGCAGTATAGTATTGTACTGATAATCTATTTGAAGAATTACAAATCGTTTGAGTATTGTTAATATTGAACCCTACCCTGGAGAGATTAACTGGTAATAAACAACCCTCAAAGGAAGTGGGTCAGAGGAAAAGCTAGTTAAATAAAAAGATTGCAAGATTACTCTCCCAAACTGGCATCAGATCTAGACACCAAATCAAGAAAGTAATGCTGCCTAAAATGTGTGAATTGAGTCTTACAGATCTCCGTGACAGAAACATTCTTCAGACATGCTCTGGAGGCTGCGCTGGAACTGGCTAAATGTGTCCTGCAGCCTTGAAGCAGTGTGACACCTGCAAGATTATAAAAGATCCATAGGCAAAGTCTGTTTAGTTAATCTCTGAACAAAGAGGACTCTCCATCTCCAGCTATCAATCTGCCAGAGCTGAGTATAAATTTAGTCCTAGCTATCTACCAACACCATAGAGCATATGGAAGCAGCAGCAAGTGAAAGAGAGGAATAGACTATGTTGGTTTCCACCCCCACCGGCGCAGGAAGGATGTTAAATAAATAAATAAATCTAGTCCCAGCTAGAAAAGAGCTAATAATTTTTAATATTTAGACTATTCTTCCCTCTGTAGGGAGAGATTCTTGGAGGACGCTGGAAAATTTTAGAAGGAAACCAGATAGCTGTAGGGAGGGAGCTTGGGGTATAGGTGTTGGAAAACTTTATCCTTATGGAATGTCACATTCAGAGGGCCAGCAATCAGGACCCGGCTCTCACTTACTCTATCTATTGTTGCGGCCACAGAGAATGCCATTTTGAGATCTGGATGGTAAAGATGACACTCCTCCACTAGCATAAAAGGTGGCTCCATCAAGTTTGGCAACCTCAGGTTCAGTTCCCATGAGCTTTGTGGTTCTCACAAAGGTAGAAAGACCTATGTCCTTGAAGAAATATGTTAACGGTGGGATACCCAAAGACTTATAAACCTTTAAACAGGGTGTGGCTGGATGATATTATTATTTATGTTATCTTAGCCTGTAGGAGCCCCAGTCATGGATTGGAACCCCATTGTGCTAGGTGCTATACAAACACAGAACAAAAGACTGTGTGATTAACTTTAACCATGCTTACAGAAACTCTTGATTTCCTGAGTACAATATTCTCAAAAAAGAGGAGGATCTAAGAAGTGTATTCTTGGTGGAGCCACCCAGCAGGGAGAGACATGCTACACCGTGCCCCAAGGAGGTACCAGTGGTGAGTCAACCCCTTCACAACGGTTGGAGAATGCAGGCATCCTTCCCACCCCTGGAGAGCAGGGGGACTGACTGATCCAGACAGACAAATACCCTAGACTTAAAGGTGTGGCTTGATAGGATGGACAACATGAATATAGAGTGTCCTCTCAAACGGATGACTGAAAACCAGCAGCAGCAACTCCTGCAGCAAATAGCTGCCCAGCAGCATCAGCTGGTCCGGGTCTTATGGGCAGAACAGCAGGAACAGCAGCAAAGGCTGTTCCAATAAGTATTGGCCCTGATGGAGCCTTTGGGTCTCCACACGGTTTCCCCTCCAGCGACTGTAGCCCAGGCCAAGTGGCCCCACCCATGGCAGTAAAACTCACAAAGACGGGCCCTGGGGACAACCCAGAGGCTTTCTTGGTAATGTCTGAGTAAGGTGGAGATGGCAACCCAGTGCCACCTGACCAGTGGGCCACCCTGTTGTCACCTTACCTGACAGGAGCTGGTATGCCATAAGGCCAGTACCTGCATACCAGGGATTGGACACAGTGTCTGCCCAATACTATGTCCGGGTAAAAGTAGCTATACTTGACTACCTTGACATCTGACACAAGTTCTCCGG